TAATTTAAATATGTTACTTTAAAATTCATACTTTCACCTTAAAAATAAGTTATCTGTCAATTTATAAAATGTTAACTATCCCGATGAACCTGATTGATTATGCAAGTATTTTTAGAAAATCAAGGAATAAAAAAAATCTTAGACCTTGAAGACACTTTAGATATCTAGATCTCTAACAAAATCCATTAATCAGCACTTTCCAGAAAAATACAAATAATTCCATTGTAAAAATAGGGTTTATTTTTTATATTTTAATAAGTAATGGCAAAACAAGCTCCTTCCAAATATCTAAAATCAATTTAGAGAAGTTTAATAGTCAAATCAAAATTTACTAACCTAAAAATAAATGGGCCAGATTGGTTTTAAACCTTGGTTTATAAGGGCCCAACCAGTATAGTTCAGTGGTTGAGTATAGACCAGGGGTGGGCAAACTTTTTGACTCGAGGGCCACAATAGGTTCTTAAACTGGACCGGAGGGCTGGAACAAAAGCATGGATAGAGTGTTTGTGTGAACTAATATAAATTCAAAGTAAACATCATTACATAAAAGGATACGGTCTTTTTTGCCCACGGCTGGTATAGACCCATAAACCAAGAGGAAACCAATTTGATTCCCGGTCAGGGCACATGCCTAGGTTGGGGGCTCAGTCCCCAGTAGGGGGCATATAGGCAGAGCCACTTGATGATGTTTCTCTTTCATCAATGTTTCTATCTCTCTATCCCTCTCCCTTTCTCTCTGAAATCAATAGAAATACATGTTTAAAGAGAAAACAAAAAAAATTGGTTTAAGAGGTCTTTATCCTACAAATAAAACCAATCAGTTTTTTGTAAAAGATGATATTTTAAAGACACACTGTTATGGAGACCTACATTCCATACCTCTGGTATCTGAGCAGCCATGTAATAAGTTTCCTCATCTACAAAAAGGCTAGATAAAATAACATCTAAATTTCACTCTAGTTCTAACCATCTTAAGTTCCAATTTTACACAACAATGAACATGAGAAATGAGGGGTAACATTTCATAACTTTGACCCCTGTAAATACATTTTAAATCCTATCACATATACTGACAAGTCTTTCCCGCCTTTGACTTCCTATGTCTAATTATCACTGATTCACAAGTTTAAGCATCCAAATTCCAATTACAGAATCAGAGAACAGAAAAAAGGTCAAAGTGAGGCCACAGTATGGTAAACAAAAATGACCTTTTAAAATTAAATTGTTGTTCTTATGAAACTGTTCTCTTAAGATTAATATGGATTTGGAAAAAGGTATTAACGATAATAATGCATTTTCAGAAGAAAAAATTAAACACTTAGGCACAGTGAATGCTTGACTCACAGACTTGTAAAATTTGACTTAAGCATCATAGGAGCTATAGGAACAAACATTTTTTCAAAACAATATACATAAAGCAAATCAGGTCTTTCACTTTACTAAGAAAATTCCAGTTTGAATACTGTCTGAATCCAGTTAGAATCATTTGGGATGCCTTTTGAATAGAAGATAACATGTAGTATCTTTTCTTTTAAACACTTAAATACTTATAAATTAAGTATTTAAAGTTTTTAAAAAAGCAGCCCTGGCCAGTGTTTCTCAGTGGTAGAGGGTGTGGGATGCCTTTTGGATAAAAGATAACATGTATTATCTTTTCTTTTAAACACTTAAATACTTATAAATTAAGTATTTAAAGTTTTTAAAAAAGCAGCCCTGGCCAGTGTTTCTCAGTGGTTAGAGTGTGGGTTGCAGGTTCTATCTTGGGCCCCACTTGGAATGCAATGCAACTGATGTCTCTTTCTCCCACCCTCTGCCTTGCCTTCCCTTCCTTTCATTCTCTTAAAAAAAAAATCAATGAAAAAATATTCTCAAATAAAGATTAACATAATAAACAAATAAAATAATCAAATAAAATTTAAAGCATACTACTGGTAAAAGCTTAAAGTCAAATCTAACCAGAACTCATTTTTCTCACATAACTTATCAATAAATTAATGCAATGTAATAATTACAATGTAATCCTACTCCACTTTCTAACTTAGTGACCAATGCTTAGTCTGTATTTTACCTGATTTCTCTGTAGTCTTAAAGTCTCTGAACAATTCAAGACAACTTTAAGACCATCAACTACTATTTATTAACACAAAGATCATTGATGGAAAAAACTCATAAGGAAATTATTATTTACCTAGATTCAAAGAAACTTCCCACAAAAATTGTAATTTTACAGTCAGAGGAACCTAATAGACACCACACTGAGGGTTAACATTACAAATAATGGGACAAAATGACATCATGTGACTCCTGATGCAATAACCTGGGAAGCGCACAGTATTATTTCTGTATTTTTCCTGCTAAAAAATGCATAAATTGAATCAAATCACGAGGGAATATCAAAAAAATAAAAGAGAAAAAAACTGAGGGAAATTCTACAAAATAAATGGCTTATCATCTCCAAAAATTTCAACATCATGAAACACTGAGAAAAAGATGAGAGGGACATAAAAACAACATGGAGTACATGATCCTGTACTGAATTCTGAACCAGAAAAATAAAACGCCATTAAGAATATTATCAAAACAACTGGCAAAAACCCGAAGAAGGTCTGTGGGTTACTAGAACTGTGCCTATGTTAAATGTCCTGATTTAATAATTGTACTTTGATCATGTAAGTGAATGTCTTGGTTCTTAGAACATATACACTGAAGCAGTTAGGAGTAAATGAGCATGATCCATGAAATAAGTCTAGTATGTTTAGAAAAAAATAATATGTATAAAAAGAGAATGCTAAAGCAAATGTGCCAAAGGTAACAACTGGTGAATCTGGGTTAAGAGTATATAGGCGTTCTTTGAAACTTTCTGTAAGTTTGAAATTACTTCAAAATAAAAAGTTAAAATTTAACAGTAGATAGCATGAGATCTGTGACAAGTAAACTGCTCTTCAGAGTGGCTTTCTGCTTGTTTTAAGATTAGCAACAGCCCTGGCCAATGTGGCTCAGTTGGCTGGAGAGTCATCCTGGACATCAAAAGGTCTCAGGTTCCATCCCTGGTCGGGGTGCGTGCAGGAGGCAACCAATCAGCATTTCACTGTCACAAGGGTGTTTCTCACTCTCTGTCCTCATAGAAAAGTATCAGTGAGAACCATTTTACATATATACTCATCACTGTACGTATTTCAAAAGAAGCATGCTTCTTATACCATGAGGAATGGCTGCTTTTCAAAGACACTGGAACAGATTTACTAATTTTATGGACAGGCTGGTCATTTAGACCTGAAAAAACTTCCATTCTCTGCTATCTGCCTGCCAAGATTTCCTCAGAATTACCCAATACTGTATCCGGAAATGACTTTTGGCTGCAAAAGAACATGAACATTGACCCCTCAGCCTCTCCATCCACCAAGAAAACAAAAACAAAACATATCTGGAAGAAACAGAGAAGGGCTCAAAAAGAGAGAATATGGCCCTGACGGGTTTGGCTCAGTGGACAGAGCATCTGCTTGCGGACTGAAAAGTCCCAGGTTCGATTCCGGTCAAGGGCATGTATCTTGGTTGCGGGCACATCCCCAATAGGGGAGGTGTAAGAGGCAGCTGATCGATGTTTTCCTCTCATTGATGTTTCTAACTCTCTATCCCTGCCCTTCCTCTCTTTAAAAATCAATAAAATATATTTTAAAAAAAGAGAGAGAATATGAAAAAAAGAGAGGGAGAGAGAGAGAAGATGGACAGACAAATTTTGAAAAAGCAAAGCAAAGAATGAAAAATAAGTATTAGCTCAGAGCTGGTCTGTGTGGTATTTTCTTGTTTCAATAAATAAACGGCCTCTTTCAGAAGCTTTATTTTTTCCCATTTCTTTCTCACTTTAATTGCACACATACAGTAATGAAATAAGTTACTAGCTTACACTGGGGTACAACCATGTGGCTACTCAATTTTAATCATATTTCTTTCCTTCAGTATCAAATTCAGTCCTCCCTTGGCCTCAAAACCCTATATTATCATATCCCTCTAATGACAGTTTCTGTTGTCTTCCTCCTACTTCAGGCTCCCTCCTCAGAAACCTTATCCCATCACATGGGTGTCCAGTAACATAAATGATACCCAAATCTTCAACTTGATCTTTTTCCTGTACCCTCAACCCTCATATCTACAACTACCATTTGGCTATTTCTATCAATTATTTCCTTTTAGTCCATTATTTGTTTCATTATAGATTTTTTTTGAAACAAGCAAAACATTAAGAAATAATGCCTACATCATCCACCCCAACCCCCAAAAATATTCTGACTAAAAATGAACTCAATAAGGTCTCTCTAAAAATCAATTCTTGAAAGTTATTCTATTCAGAACCTCAGGATAGAAATCACAGAATCTTAAGTAATCCATCCTCATACTATAGCGAACCTGTCACTAAATCCAGATGATTTTCCTTTCTCTGCCTCTAGTTAATTCATTGTGCCCATAGCAAACATGATAACCTCTCTAATATGTTGCGTTCATCTTTGCCCTCCATAATCAAGGCCAATGCTTCTCAAAAATAAATGCACATCACAACCACCTGGGGATCCTTTTGGGGGGGCCCCATTCCACCACCAGTTAATCAAAACCTTTTCAATTAACACATTCTATTTAACTTCAGGCAGTTAAAACTCTCTAATCTTCAAGTTTTTAATCTTTGTAAGACTTATATGAAGTGAAATTAGACTCTGCAAAACTATTTGTAAGAGCACAGGACTGGACACCTAAATATCTACCATAAGATAGTTTAAAAATTATGCTACACCTGCATATGGAATATCACAGCTCAAAAAGAATGATCAAGCAGTGATCTAAACATGTTTTTTCAAAGGATAACAGCAAAGTGTATGTGGTATGCTCCCACTTGTATTTTTTGCATTAAGGCTGTTGCTGAACTGATTCATAAAAAGTTATCAAAAGCAGCTACCTCTGAGGAAGAGATCTGGGAGGTCAAAGACTACTTTTTATAGTATATCCTTTCTTGTGCTTCTTGAACTATTTGAACATGCATGTATGACTTATTCAATAAAACTTTAATAAAAAATGCTCATTGCATATTAGCATAACCAATGGACACAGATACTGGGGCTGTGGGGGCTTACCCAAGGTGGGAATGGTTGGGGTCAACTGGGAAAAAAGGAGACATATGTAAAACTTTAGACAAAAAAAAAAATTTTTAAATGCACATGAGCCCCAGACAGTTTGGCTCAGTGAATAGAGCATCAGCCTGCAGACTGAAGGGTCCCAAGTTCGATTTCAGTAAAGGCACATGCCCAGTTTGCAGGCTCATCCCTAATAGGGGGCGTGCAGGAGGCAGCTGATCAATGATTCTCTCTCATCATTGATGTTCTATCTCTCTCTCTCCCTCTCCCTTCCCCTTTGAAATCAATAAAAATATATTTTTTTAAATGTACATGAAATTAAATAGAGGTAATTACAACTACTTTCCAAGAGGGTCGTAAAGATTAAATCAAGCAATCTGGAAAACATAATTGACACAGCAAATATTCAAGAAATGCTAGCTATTATTAGATTACATTATTTTAAGTAACATGCCTCTGATAGGCAGCTACTAAGATAGTGCCTGACGGCCGAAACCGGTTTGGCTCAGTGGATAGAGTGTTGGCATGCGGACTGAGAGGTCCCGGGTTCGATTCCGGTCAAGGGCATGTACCTGGGTTGCGGGCACATCCCCAGTGGGAGATGTGCAGGAGGCAGCTGATCAATGTTTCTCTCTCATTGGTGTTTCTAACTCTCTATCTCTCTCTCCCTTCCTCTCTTTAGAAAATCAATAAAATATATTTAAAAAAAAAAAAAAGATAGTGCCTGACAATCCCTGCTCACTACTATTATTGCCTGTGCAATTCCCTCCCACTGAGTACGAGGCTGAGGGTACTAACTTGCATCCAACACAACGAGGATATTGCTTCCAAGATTATTTTATAAAAGACTGTGATTTTCCCCTTGTTTGTACACTCTATGGCTCTTCTCGATTACTCTCTCTGATGAAACAAGCTGCCATGTTGTCAGCTGCTGCATAGAGAGAACTCATGTGGCAAGAAACTGAGACAGGCTTCCAACCAAAAGCCAGCAAGGACTGAGACTCTCAGTTCAAAAGCCCATGGTGAACTGAATGCTGTCACCAACCACGTGACTGAACCTTAAGATGACTGCAGTCCAGGAAAACACAATGATTGCAGCCTTGTGAGAGATGTTCAACTAGAGGACCCAGCTAAGCCACACCACGTCTGGACTTATACAAACTATGAAATGATATATGTTGCTATTGGAGTAATCTTACAGAGCAATCTACACTAATAAAATAGAAATATGCAAATTAGTGTCACCCTGCTACACCCACCAGCCAATCAGGGTGAGTATGCAAATTAATCAAACAAAGATGGTGGTTAATTTGCACATGCAGGCGCAGAGCGAAGAATGAAGACAACTGAGGACTGAAGAGGCTTGGATTCTCTGCTGCAACCGGAGCGGAAAAGCCAAGCCTCACCACTGCGGCCCGAGAAGAGAAGCCTTGGCTTGTCCGCTGCGGTCGGACCAAAGGCCTGGGTCCGGGTGCCAGAGGAAAACCAGTGTCGGCAGCCAGAAGAAGCTAGGCCTTTTGTGCAAATCTTCGTGCAACGGGCCTCTAGTAAGTAAATAAAACAATGCCTATCATATAACACTTATATTATGTTCAAGAAAAACTTTCTAAGAATGCAGTCTGATAAATTACAAAAAGGAATTAACTCAAACATCATATCCCAGTCCATACCTGTCCTCCTCTTGCCAGCATGCTAACCCAAATAGTACTGGTGGGTCGGGAAGAATTCTCCAGACATGATCTACACTCTCCTGTGTAGGCATATTTAGAATCTTTTTTGGCAAAAACATAGACTGTGTTCGTTGCCATTTTTTCTTGCGCAATTAGAACCTATATAGACAATAAAAAAAGTTACAGCCATAAAACCCACAAGGTCCTTGAAAAAGAAAGAAGAGTGAAATCAGTATCTTAATTTAATTTGATTATATAGGCTCACTGAAACATCGATTCTTAAACTTTACAAATTCCATTTTGTATAAATGCTTCATAGAAAACTGTAAGCCCAAACAACAGACCATATAGGACATATTATATAATACAGCTAAATAAAACTTCAGGTTGCCCAGTCGGTGTGTCTCAGTGGTTGAGCGTCAATCCATGATCAAGGAGGTCAGGTTTCGAATGCCAGTTAGGGTACATGCCCAGTTTGTGGGCTCAATCCCAAGTAGAGACTGTGCAGGAAAGCGCTAATCAATGATACTCTCTCATCATTAATGTTTCTGTCTCTCCCTCTCTCTTTGAAATTAATAAAAAAATATATATTTTAAATAAAGTAAATGTTTGGTTTACATAAGTTTAACTATCACCCACCCTAAATATTTCAACTACCACTTCCAGATTATTCTGTATAAAAGTTTACTTTTTAATTCTAACTTTCAAATTTTAATCATCGTTTTGTAAATTTTCTTTAAATAATGAGACAAGCCCTGACCGGATAGCTCAATTGGTTGGAGCATCATTCCAATACGCCAAGGTTGCAGATTCAATCCTGCTCAGTCAGGGGATATACAAGAATCAATCAATGAATTTGTTGGAACAACAAACCGGTGTTTCTTTCTCTCTCCTTCCCTCCCTCACTCACTGCCTCTCTCTCTCTAAAATCAATTTTTAAAAAAGTAATGCCACAATACCTTTTCTGATCCATTAATAATGAAATAGCCGCCAGGATCCAAGGGGCATTCATTTAGCTCACAAAGATCACGATCTGTTAAGCCGTTCAATAGGCAATAAGTTGAACGCAACATAATTGGGATTTTTCCTATAAAAGTTTTCTGATGCTGAGTCTGCTGTTGTTCTTCACCTTCTTTAATGTGTGTTTTTGTGTTATA